ATTTGTGATCTTAAAAGACCAAAATAAGCAGAAATTTCAGAAATTAGTGATGGGAGGAGATGGGAAATATAATGTAGAAGAAGCAGATGAAATAATTTATTTCCTCATACATATGCAGACTAATAGATACACTGGCATTAAAATTAGTAATGCTGAGGACGCGTCTGACTTCTACATTAGTGTTCTTCCCTCATAATTGACAGCTTAAGGGGGGTACTGATACATAGTGATGATAATGACATTAACTTGTTCTTGAAAGAAATTGAAAATGGCACTGCTAATAATGCCTGAACTGTGACAGCCTCTCTGCAAATTGCAGGAATAGTTCAGTGGCATTGGAAGAAGACATAAATGGAATAAGGTCCCATATATCTTAATATCAAAGCTGTATAATATTTGTCTATTTTACTGCTTGCCAAATGTTGAAACCTTGGAGTTGGAAGAAAAATTGTCCCTTGGAGAGGGCTACAACAAAACATGCACAACTCAGTCACTGAATCTTAGTGTGGTGTGCTGGTCCTGTAAACAGAGGGAAATTTCACTGAATTTGTACAAAAGCGATAAAGGCCAATGAAAAATTATCAGAGCTAAAGAGAGCAGTGCTCTGGCTATGGATGTGGAAGAATTGTAAAATATTGGTTTATAGACAGGGCAATCAGTAAATTTAATAAGTTGCTTCTGCAGTTAGTCAAAGTAATTAACACAAGGGCATATAGGGCAACTTGAGCCAGCAGAGTCTGGCACTGGAATAACTGACTGTAAGAGAGTCATTAGCTCATGATTAAGTAGTTTATCCCCAGAAGTCAGCATCTGTAGTCATAAGTACTTATTTATAACTATTTCTGACTGATTCTAGGGTTACGTAGGGCATTACGTATACTGGGGAAATGGAATATACTCTATTTCATATGGGAAAATTTTCTTCTTTGCTTGTTTCAAGCCATCATTTCATGTTCCTGATGAAACGGGCCCTGAAGAGAAGCATATCCGTGGATCCTTGACTGGAAGAGCCCACTGGAGATAGAGCAGTGTGAAGTAGATGGAGCACAGGATTTAGAGCACAAACTTTCTACAAAGAAGCAAAATGGAATCAAGGAAGGTGGAATCCTTCCAGCAAAGAGATCCATAGACAGGAGACTACAGAAGTGTCAGGAAAAAGGGGTGTGTTGCTGGTCAAAAAGGACAATCAAAAAGGACCTCTGGTCATCAGAGTAGGAGGCTGGCCAACTTTACAGGCAGCGTTTTCACATCTGGGTTTTTAGTTTTAGAGCTGATGTCAAGAGGACAAGACAGAAGACAGGAATGTGATTTGCAAGTTGGTGTCTGGAAAAAGGCTCTGCATATTCTGAGAAAAAGAAATTACTTTGATGAACATGTTTTACCATTTTTTAGAGTTGGTATATGACTAGGATATAGCAAGAATGGTGTCTCCAGAGATGATGAGATCAAAACCCTTTAAAATGGGTTAGAGAAGTCTGAATGCAGTCTTTGAATGTAGGGAAACTATACTGAACTTCAGGAGTTTCACTGAACTGGAGTTGAGTAAGTAAGATCATACAGTATTTTGCCAGATGAGTTTGTGAAGAAAAGAACACAACCAGGTTGTATCAGCAGAATCTCTCTTTGTTGAACTTTGGTCTAACTAGTCATCTATTCTGCACAGATAAAAAACCATTCTTGGATAAAATGAAGTTCACAGTGCCGATTCCCTTGCTGCTGGAAGGTGGAAAATGTGGGGGTGAAAGAAAATGTTGCTAACTATTAACAGTGCTTCCTTGTCCCATTTGCCTTCCATATCTTCTGAAGGTGTCCACTGTAATTTAAAATTCTGATTTAGGGTCTATAAGTTCCACTACGAAAGCAACCTTGGCATAGTATAACCTTGAATTTCAAATGCAAATAATTTTTTTTACAGATGTGTCAGTAATTGATCTACGTCACTGTAAAATGCTGGGGATTTCATTGGTGGATGTGTCTGTGTGCTTGATATAAGACAGACAAATGATGTTTATTTGCATACTTCTCATCTAAGTGTAACTTCCTATCTCCCCTCAGCTGTGGATCCCTTGGACAAATATGTCTCCCTGTGCTGGTATAAACAATTCTTGCAGCCTTCCTCTCTTCACTTCCAAACAAAATCTCTCATGGAGGAAAGACATGAGGCTGGGGTGTGTGCCCATCTGTTTTATTCTGTGATTTCAAACATCATTTGGATTTTTTCTGATCAGGACAACACGATGTACTAAGTGGGAGACTTGCAACTGTACAGGCTGGTATTATTCGAAATTTCCTAGGCTAATGGGATTACTGTTGCTCTACTTTATATTGTTCATACACAAGGGAGGAAAGAGAATCCTGAGAGAAGAACTAATCCACAGAAACACACTTGCGAATTTGTCCTACTTCTTGTTCCAGTCCAGTGTAATAACTGTGAATTGTAATTTCCTCTGAATTGTAGTGCTCAGATAACACTGCTAACCAAACATGAATCTTATCAAAATGCAGTGACTCAGTCACACACCATAGACAAATTGTGGGAAGATTTGTGTGGATCTACTTAGAAATTGGTAGTCATAGTTAGAAACACTTGAAATAGGGATGAGAAATGGGAAGGAGAGAAGATGGTAGGTAGACCAAGATGAAATTGTAGAACAAATGGATGGAGAAAACTAAAAATAAGAATAGAAGGTGGCAAGAAATACCTTGACTTTACTAAGTACTTGGCAGTCATACTTTTAGTAAAAGAAAACTACATAAGAGGACCACAGGGGGGCAGGGCTAAATCAAAGATCAATATCTCTGTGAATATTCCTAGTGTTTATGTTGAAATGGTCGTTTCATGTGAATGTACACCAACTGTACTGGTCCATTGGTGCAAATATGGGGCAAGTAAAGTCTGATGTAAACAAAGAAAGATCATGGATGAAGTCTAAAATAAGTACCTGTCCTCTAATGATGAGCTTTATTTGATTTGAGATCCTCTCTGAAAGTCCTACGGGGGATTTTTCAAAGCAGCATATGATCTAGTCACCAGTCTCTGTCTAGTGTAGGAAGCAGAGCTTCCTTTCTTTGCCTGGTTTTGGCTATCCATAAAAATGGCTGATTGACATAATAAAATTATCTTTCCATAGCCCAGGAGAAGTCCATAGCATACACGTAACAAAAAACTTTGCTTTGATGTGGTATGACAGTAGTAAGAAAATATATAAATTTATAGTACATGCATTAGGGATCACAGATTTGTGAAATTCTAAAAACTGAGTCCTCAGTATTGAAACAAGAGATTCACTCTTGAGAATTTCACTGTCTGTGATGTTTAGAGAGAAGTTACAATCACTGAAGCTCGTAGGAAGTAAGGATTAATTCCTCACATTTATTGTTGGAGGCACAGTGTATGTTATCCCTTAATGAAAAGAATACGTAACATGGAACAGACAATACTGTAGGTTTGCCATAATACAACAAGCAGACTAGATCCAATCCCCTGAGGCTATTTGGATTTTAGGGGATTTAAAATTTTGGCTAAGCCGCTATATTCATGTTATGAGTCCTTTCTTTGAGCTGCTGTGTCTATAGTTTTTTTTTGTGCTTAATGTACAACAACCTGTGATAACTATGGATCCATATATTGTAAGGCTGTGGCAATTTTCAAAAGTCCTCACTGAAAAGTCTAGTATATGGTTTAAATCACCAATGTGGGGCTAATTCCTTAATGTGTAACTTCTCCTTAAGGCTTGCAGGTGATAACTCACACTTGTAAATACAGCTCATGCCCAGAGAAGTGTGCTGCTGCCTTAATCAGCTTCATGAATTGTATTACTTAATTGAAAATGCTAATCACATAACTATTAAACTGTTAATAATCAGGAATCAGTAGATCATTAATTCAAAATTGCTATAATTGCAGGATGCACAAGTGTAGAATTTCACTGGTGAGGTTGAACAATTAATTTAATTTCCTAAAGACAAATATGTCATAAGTAGGTATTGTACAAATAGTAATTTAAGTGCGAAAGTATGTGTTTCTTTTCTTTTAATCATATTTATTTACTTTTCAGACAAGCAAAATACCTGAGAATATTTTTGTTTTTAAATAAAATTTCTGAATTTCAGAGAAAAAAATTTCTGTGATTATTTCATCCCAGCATGGTTTTTTCCTAGGGCTGTCCAAGCTTCATCAAGAAAAAAGGGAAGCCAAATAATCAGCAGTTCCTTGCAAATAGAGCAAGACTGTCTGCTGGGCCCAGTCTGCCAGTGTTGCATTACCGAAAGCATTCCAGTTTACCGAAACTCAGCCCTTGTCCTTTTATTCTACAGGAATTCGGTATTCCTTTTAGGTGCAAAAAACCCTGTCCATATATTAGAACTGAATCCAAATCTCTATAGCTATTCAATGCTTGTCCTTACATTTTCCATGCAGGAGAGTTAGCACACAGCCAGCTACTTAATACGTGGTTCTCTGTGCTACATTCTTTGGGAGTGCAAGAAGTAAGTTGGAGATAGTTTTCTTTATTTCCAAAACCTTTGTATAATTTATATACCTTGTTTGGGTACTTGCAGCTGATCCTTCTTTGAAGGGGTAAGCAAAGCTTGGCCTTACCATGCACTGACTGAATCCATGAGGGAACTGCAATATCTCTGGTTTTACCAGCTGGCTTGCAATGTTTCAATATTCGTTTTCATAGCAGCCACCTCTGATTCATGGCTCAGCTTCACACTCCCTCCTTCTGCTTAGTTTGTCCAAACTGAGCTTGTGCCCTTTGCTGTGACAACCAAGGAAGGGAGATACTAGAGGGGTTTCATGTGGGAGTGTGCAGATGTCGCAGTGGATCGAGGTCTCTGATAGGTGTGAATGTTTTATCTCTACCCAGGAAGATCCCATCGCAGCCATGGAGACACTGCAATGCTCAGGAGGCTCTGGAGACTAACGATATCACAGTTTGTGGAAGCAGATTTTGGCACACAAAGTGTCAAAAATCAAACCCATCTGCAGTAGATATTTAATTCCTCAGACTTCTGTGGAAAATCCACATCTCCACATAGACAGGTATGTCTGTGTCTTTTGAATCCTTAGCTATTGCTTTAACACTACTGTGGTTTGTTTTCGAAGAGATTATACACTTCTGTAAACCAGTTACACATATACATGGACGTGTCCATTAATATTACATCACATTGCAAGTCCTACTTCTAATTTCATCATAAAAACAGCATAAAAATGTGCAATGCAAATTCACTCTTGTTCATTGTTCAGTGGAGTAAACTTTCCATGCAGCTTGTGAAAAATTAGGCAGAGTGTCAGCTGTGAACATCTAATTCCCCCTTCAGGGTGCTGACAAGGTACTCCAAAGTAATGCTTTTCACTAATTGCATACAGCACTGACCATGGAAGCCTTCCACTATCCCATGGCAGAACAGTAGGATTCCTATGGCTTTTCCATTTAATTGAAAGTGAACATAAGAGACTGTTAGTATTGTCTTCTGGGATCCAGGGAGGATCCCAAAAATTGTAGAATTTTAGACAATTTCTCTGGAAGTGTGTCATGCTGCCAGTTCTAAATTATGGGGAAAATGGAATTGCCTTGCTGTGGCTCAAAATTGAAATTCAGGAAAAAGAGAAAACCCAACCCACAAAATAAAACAATAAGTAACTTCCTGGAAGTTATAGGGTTGGGGGTTTCTTTCAGCTTCGTAATACAATTTTTTTCTATAATATTTTTGCATGAATCCAAGAGTGATTATCTTATTGGACATAGTACATCAGTTAGATTCAAAGTATGTTTTCACCTTCATTAGTTATTGCTTGATCTTCCTACTACTGAATTAGCTTTGAGAAAAATAGGATTAAACTCTAATATGCAAAAGTAGTCCTGATTAGACAAGGAAAGCAGAAATCAAGCCGTCTGTTTAAAAATATATTTCATACCTCTCTATTATATTGCACTATGTAGCTTTATAGTGTTTTCTACACTTCCAAGCAGTTTAAGGACAGAACAGACAGGAACAGCTGGAGTAGAGCAGGTCTCAATAGGGAATGTGCTTTACCTGTCCCTCTGTGTCTGTACCTGTGTGCAATGGAGGCACTGAAGCTTTGCCACACCTCTTTGTGGCCGTGCAGGGTGTCTGAAGTGCCATTTTTATGTATAGACTATACACACTCTATAGAGTATAGAGAAAGTAAAAAATGTACATGGAGGTTGCTTTAAGTTACAAGCTTGTGGAGCTGAAGATGACATTTATCTTTTGTCTTTAGTGGACCAAAAAGAGATTTGCAGAAGAAGCCATTCAGTGATAGCAGCAAGAAGGCAAAGGTGAATTCCACTGAGAAGAATCTCAGTAAGAAGGATGAGAGAAGGCTCCATCAAACAACAAGAGGAGCGAGAGATGGATTACAGAGGAGAGATCATTTCTTTTACCAGCAGGGACTAGATGATATTTGTTGGTTACATTTTTGTGAATATTTGAAATTTTATCAGGTGGGAAGGAAGGAGCTTTCTTTTTACTTAACAGGTTTGGCCTGAATACCTATTTATATTCACAGATGTGGAAGTTGTGTGCACTGCTAGTGTATGACTTTGACTGGGATTTCTTTGAAGACTTTTAAACTTCTACTTGTTTCATTTTTGTCCCTCAAAATTAAAGGAGTTAAGTACTCTGAGCATGTGACCCTGTGAGTTTGGTGTCAACTAGGTCTTTTTGAAAAAAATTCTGCCATTTACAATGACAAATGGAGTAGCTTAAATGAAAGAATATTTAAAAACCTTGAAGGAAATTACTTCTGCATGGGAGAGATGTTTTCAGAAGCATTAAGACGAGTTAATTCTGACAAGAATGCTAAGGCTTTAATAAGCTAGTTTATATGCTTGAGGCAGTCAGTAATCAAATGCCCAAGTACCTTATGTACTGACATTTACAAATCACAAACAGATTTATATATTGCAATTCTAGAACTTTATCACAGGAAAATCATACTCTGCTGTTTAAACCAGATGAGAGAAGAAGAATTAAAGATTCACGCTTATGAGAATAGAAGCAGCTGTCTAGTGTTTGTTATATGGGATGGAAAGCAAGAGGAATGCATTTTAAAAAGCTAAAATAGCCTTCTGAATAAGGTGCTAACTAGATGGTTACCCAAAAGATTTATACTGGGCAAGCACTTTACCTCTCTGTTTTCCTCCTCTCAAGGAATAATTATTTCTTTCTGTTATTCTTCATCAGTCTTGCCTATCTAGCCTGTGAGTTATGATGCATAGGAGTTAAAGCTGCTTCAGAATTTTGTCTTTTGAGTTGTTAAGTTTCTTAAAAAGTGGCTCCTGCTGCCTCTCGAAACACCCCTGATTTGTTATAAGTGAAAATATCTGAAAATGCAAACCCTTCCTTAAAAACTGTGCAAGTTTGGGTAGTCTTTTTTCTGGGAAAGCATTCTCAGGACAGAAGGTTTCAGAAGTTGGCTGGTGTCTCCTAGAGCAGTCATGATGTTCTAAGTCACTTAGCTGTGAGGAGTAGGAGAATGTCACAGCAGAATATTAATCCTGGATTCCCTACAGACCAGGCAAACATCATCACACTGGACTCTTAAGGAATCTGGGATTTCTTTTATAACATATCTATGATGTGTACAAATATTCAGGAGCTCCGTGGTTCTTGTCTAATGTGCATAGGAAGTACAGTCACAGTTCTTCAAGTATGGTGTTAAGTCTGCCTTTTCTTTGAAATTCTGGTGTGATTTAGTTAAGAATTTATTCCCCTTTGAAATAATAAACATAATATAAGCTAACATAAATTTGAATATAATGGATTACATGTTTTTAAGTGACTTAGTGTTGAGCGGTGTGTGGCATACATGTGGTAGCACAGCCTGAGAGCTTTTGGAAGTGGCTTGTCTTCCTGGCTTGACCTTGGACCTGCCTTTTACCTCTGGGCTTGCCCAGTGATCATGGGACTGAAACAGACTCTAATTAGTACCTCCAGGGCAGCCCAGACCTACACTGCCACTTTGACATCCCACCTTCTGCTCAGGCAGGTCCCTCCATCCCCCTGCCCTGCTGTCCCTCTGCTCCAACTCGCCTTCCTTTCTGGTACTAGACAATCATTGCTGCTCCTGGGCATAAACCCTGATGTAGAGGGACAAGAAATCTCATTTTTAACTTGTAAAATTGGTAGGTACTAATATTTAAGCCAGGCACTTCTCCCATGGCAGTATGATTTCTGGGTGTTCAATAGAGTTAATGAAGCAAACATGTGAGTGAACAGTTGCAATAATGGGAGTTCTCCACTAACATTTAGGCTCCACATCACAGAGTAATGCCATTCCTCCAAATGCATTTGGCTTTCAATGTATTGATCTTTCTTAAAATGTTTTCAGCCTTTCATCATTGCCTAAGTTGAGGTTTTTGTAGAAAATGAATATTGCTGCACTTATGAATGCCACTAGTTATGAAATCCACAGCATTTAAAATACTGCTAACATTTTTCTGGTAATGGAAGAAATTATATTTTTTATGTAAGCCGTGGTTTTTTTTTTCTTTTCTCTTTTTCTTCAACAGATATTCTCTGTTAGTCCCTTCCTGTTTGGTTTGTGGTTTTTTTCCCCCCAAATTTTAGTGTATTCTGAAAGATTCTGCTCTCCTGAGAGTTGTGAAATTTATTTCAAAGGAAATCAAAAAATCTCTCTGTTCTCCTGAGAGATGGACCAATCAGCACTCATAAAAAAATAATAACAATTATTATTGCTATACAGGATAGTATATTTTCTCTCTTAAAAAAGCTATCTCAGATTTCAATGCAAGGGTACAAATACTTTGCACTTGCTATTATTCAGCTAACAGAGAATACACCTACAAGGCAGACAGAAGAAGTAAAAACATAGGCTGTTCCTTTGTTTCACTCAGTCAGTGAGTAAGCTTTGCATGCTACTCTTCAGTCCTGTTGCACCTGAAGTTTTTTAATTTACAATTCTCCAGAAGGAGTCTCGGAGAAAATATAAAGAAGAAACATTCAGTTTTGAGAAAAAAGCATCAGGTGGTTCAGTTTTTCATCCTTTCTCCTGAAATGGTTCACATTTTTGTATTGCAAGCTACATCTTGTCAGAGCACAGCCCACTGTCATCGTGGGTTACACAGTAAAATGGCATTGGAATAATTCTCTGCATCTGCTGCACCTTTTATGAATAGCCAGAAAATCATCCCTGTAACAAGAGGAGTGGGAGAGGATTCCCACGGAGCAGAATGAGGGATCTAATGTCCAGCTAATTTATTTTGTGGACATGATGTCAGTCATATCATAGTTTTCTTCTTCCTGTACAGAATAGACAACTACATTTGAATATATACTTGCTATAATTTGTGAAAAGCTTCCACATTTTTCTACCTCATCCTTATTTTTTTCCTTCAGGATTAGAAAAATGCTGGACACCGAACTACTGTCCAATTGGAAATTGTCTTCAGGTCTGAGATATCACTTTGACTTTCATTAACATTAAAAATGTGGATATTGCAGGGAAACAGATTTTTACTGCACTATCCCTAACTTTACAGATCTCAGGAGGAAACCAAAGAAGCAGCTCCCCACATTCAGTGAACATTTTCCTTTTTCCTCCCCGTTCCCTTTCTGAGGCTCACTTCTGACTTTGTGTCTAACTCTGACCCAGTGTTCCTACATTTGAAGCACAGACAGCAGGGTGTAACATGCATAGGTATTGACTTTGCTGAAAAGGCTCCACATGGAAGCAGCCAGCTCATCCCTCCATTTTAACCAGCTTTTCCATCCTTAATCATGCTATTATTTCCAATGACTAATTGTTTGGGGGTGCTCTATCTCCTTCCATGCTGAGGCTGTGGGGGAATGTGAAAATTTGAGGCAGGGAGTTTAACTGAAAATCAAAGAATTTACAAACAAAAAACCCTGGGCAGAAATGAAAATCCACTGCTACTATGCCCAACAACTATGCAGTCTGACATGGTTGGAAAAAAAAAAAAAAAACAACAAAGGAAAAAAACCTTCCTGTGTGCTTAGGAAAATGAGAAGGGAAGAAAATGCAGGATTAAAAGAATATGCATTTTCCTCATCAAAGGAATCTCCTCTGCCTTGGTGTAGAGAAAATTTTCAGACAAGTTAGATACAGAGAAGGATCTGGAAGGAAAATGACTGTGGAGTAGGAAGGACATGTATCTCTTGTGTTGGCTGCTTCATACCTAAAATGAGAATTACATCAATTGACTCAGTTTTACTTCCACAGACGTACTTACATCCATATTAGTTATAGTTAGGGTACCTCTCCTCTGTCTGTTCCAAACTGAGAAGTGGGTGCATGAGCTGCAGCTTCTTTTGTCTCAGAAGCCCGGAAAGAAGTCCTATGTTGTTCAGAATCTATCTCTGAATCATAGGACATCTGAAGCTCTCCCAGAGTTGTCTGTGAGATTAAAAATTCTAATGTTTTTCTGGTTATTTTAATCCCATGTTGGTAAAGCAGCAGAAAGCTACAAAGAGGAGACAAAACATACAAGGAGGAGCTCATCGCTGCATGGAAATAGAGACTATAAATACTAATAAGGGAAAAGATGACTTACAGAGAAACAAAAACAAGACAAGGTAAAGACAAAGATCAGAAAGCAATTCTTAAAGGGAAATCCTCTGCTGCTACAAATCTCATGAGGAATTAATCCCCTGGTGAGAAGTCAGAGTCTGTAGCTACAGCACTGCATACAGCGTCACACACCGTGGTGAAGGAGCTCAGACCATGTGGTGGCAAATCCCAAGTCTATCACAGCCTTCTTGAGTGATATCAGGCACGTCAGCTCACACATCACTGCAGACAAACCCTGATCCAGCTTGTCACCCATGTTATTTAAAAGCAAGCATAAGGTAAGCTCTAGGTTCTGATACCTGCTAGAAAAGAACCTGAGTGGTGCTGGTGCTCTGAGGCAACAGCCCACATAATCTGGGTAGCTGTGGCACAGGTGGGACCCTGGGTGCTCAAACCAGGCCTGCCTTGGGGTTCTCCTTTGCTCAGCTCTCCCTGAGGATGGGACAGGTGCTCTGAGCATATCTGCAGCCAGCAGAGCAGAGAGGAAACACCTGACTGTGCAAGTGATAGCATCATCACCTCCTGTAAAGTGGGAAGGAGGCAGAGTGAAAAGTTCCCATTTGGTCTCTCACCTGTATAAACCTGGCCACTAAGTGCCTGAGAGAGCTATTGTCACGGGTGGACTTCTGGGTGGGCTGTGCACAAACCATTTATAAAGCAGCAGAAAATGAACCGTTTGATCCATTAAAGAAATGGTCCAGCTTAAAGCATGCAGGAATTGGCCAAACCATTGCAACATGCATTTGTTCATCAACCATTACATTAGCAACTAAATCCATCAAACAGTAATTTACTGTAGCCTATAATCCACCAATACCAATGCCTATAATCCACCAATACCAATGCAGGATATACTCCTACTCGGATAGCTGCTTTCCACCTCTCATCTTCCATTTTTCCATCCTCCCTTAAACTGCAGCAGATATATACAAATCCTGGAGAGAGATAGGCTGTCCAGCTGAGGATTGCTGGTGCCTGAACAACAGTTGTTTTTGTTTCCTTGCATTGCCATCAATATAAATTACAGAATTGTTAATGACAATGGCCCTGAAGGATGGTTCTCCTGGTCAGGC